GGGAAGGGGAGGGGGAGGATGATAACCGGTGGTTGAGACGAGCGATGAAGTGGCAGCCAAGAGGGGCTAACGCGCCCGACGGGACGTCAACCGGGGAGGGAGCGATGCAATCAGCTGGAGTGCAGGTGCCGGGGGGGGGGGGCAGGAATTGTCACGTCGATTGTTCCATCCTCCTGTGGAAGAGGCTGGCAAAGGACGCTGCTGGGCCAGTTGAAGGCAGTCGCCCCCTCCAACAACAACAACAACGGAGGGAATAGGAGCGGCGCTCACAACAACGAGCGGAGCGGCGGGTGCGGATAAAAAAACACAAGCAAGTTGACACAATAGGGGGGCACAGCTGGTGCATCTTGACAGTCAACTCAGTCAGTCAACCCACAGCAGCTGGGTCTGCCACATGACCTCCTGCCAGCGAGCCTTCCACACATCAAATGGCCTCGGAGTGCACCTGGCCGGGCACAAGCGCCGTGGTGATGTCACTGCCACTTGTTGGCGAACGGCGACTGTTATTGTTACATCGTAGAACCGTGAGAGACGGCGACAACTTAGGGAGGGCCTTCATACAGCAGCGGATAGATCATGGCCGACGATGATGAGGCGGAGACAGGTGGCAACACTGCCGGTAACGAGACGGGCGTGGTGGCGCACGCCTGGAGGAGTAGAGTTGGTGGATCGTGCGAATCTGTGATGCTCCTAAACCCCCCGCTGGTCCACGAGGTGGTCAGATCACACAGCACACAACACGCTGATCGAATCCATCTGTGCGGCGCTGTTAGCGTCACCCCTCCCCCTCGTACGTGGGAGTTTTCTCAAGGTACTCTGGTTTCTTCCCACGAGTACAAACGCTCACGAGCGGAATTTACCAAACATCCCAACGCAGGACCCGCCTGAAAACTGGCCAGGTGGCTCAGCCAGGTGGTCTTCTTCTTCTTCTTTGCTATGGCTGATGCAGAATAACAACTACAATTTCACATTGAGGCGGTCAAGCCAGGCGACCGCATCAAGAGCTGCGGAGTGCATCGCCGCGATGTCTCCTTCGTATTTGTGGATCGGGCATTGCGTCGTTAGACGTTGTACGCTCTGTTCTGGATCACCATAGTAGCACACTGGAGAGTTTTCAATTTGTGCATCAGGGTATCCGCATCTGCTGCCACGGTTTTTGCAGTGGATGCGGTTGAGGGTGGCTCAGCAGTGGAGGGAGCAGGACCCTCTGCCGCTGACTGCCCAATTTTGCTTGAGGGTTGACCGAACTCATCTATCCAGGGAGTCAATACCACACACTGTGGGTAAGTCAATAGTGGCTGTCCTATGTATAGACTCGCAAACCCGCCACGGGAATGCAAACAACACTTCAACGCTCGGATGAGCAGGAAATGACTTTGTAGGATGCAAACTCACTGTTTTCGCTGAAAATAAGAATCCGATTTAACCCTTTCCCGGCACTAACACGGGAGTTGTTAATATGTTCAAACAACAAACAGGCACCGATTGCGAGGCATCAAAGCTGCATTAACCACCCGTGCTTGTGGTAAATCATGCAATCAAACATGCTCTGATAAAGTCCACATTGTCTTTGAAACTGATTGACCTACACCCGAGACGGCAGCTTGCTTGGTGGCCTAGTCTCACCACCGGCGTTAGGCCCGAGAAGGCCACAAGACAAGAAGGATAAAGGCAATGTAAGTATCAAAGCATGGATAGCTCGGGTCGAGCAGTTATATCCAAAGCCTTACATTCTTTCTTTCCATCATTCTGACACTGGCAAAAAAAGGTGACGCAGAGGCCGTTTTCCTTGTTGGGCCTTCAAGTGCGCAACTGCGCGTTTGTGCACAGCGCCAAGGGCTGCTTCTCGGGTTGTCCTGCGTGGCTCTCCGACGCATTTCCGCGTCGGATTCCTCGAAGAATTTCACGACAACGCGTGCAGAGCGACAGCGTCTGGACGTCGCTATCCGGCGGCGCTCCGGCAGGGTTCACGTGCGCCTGTCGGGAAATGTCCCCGTTTGCCCGCGTTCACTCGGCAAAGAGATCGACCGAAGGCGAGTTTGGACCGACAACAGCGGAAATTACGTCCACGATAGAGGGTTTTTTGGGTTAGATCGCGTGAATATAAATGTGTCGTTAAACCCGCCACCACCCGACACGGCCAATGAGTAAGGGGTTGTCACGTAAGCAGAACGTGCCAATTCGTTACTAGTACAGCAATACCGGTGCGTTGGAGGGTAAGCCCCACGACATTTACAATTCGAGTATCGTGACGTTTCGTCGGTAATTACAACAACCAGCATCATCAGGTCGACAGCCAGAGTTGTGAAATAATCCTCCTGCCTCGGTCTTAAATAGAGGTGGTAAAAACGTGACGTCGTCGCTTGTGAGCCAATCAGGTGTGAAGACCAGATGGGGGAGGGGGGGGAGGGTGCGGAGGGGAGGAATTTAAATGAAAATGGATATGCATTACCAGTTATTCATAGGGTAATCAACATCCATAAATGATAGTGTTCTCATTGATCTTTGAACGGCTCCCAGAGGCGATAATTTGGTCCATTTATTTACATCAGATGAGAAAATGCGCTCGCCCACCACCCCCCCCCCCCCCCCGTCTGCTTTAGGAAGAGAATGGAGGAAATAAATAAAATGTTAGTGGTAAAAAGTTAGTATTTAATAGCTAAAATGTCACAGCGCTAATTATATTTGTAAAACATACGTATATAGCATTAAGGTTGCTTTAGTGCGTCACGCGGCAAATGTCTAACAATCATCGGGGTCGTGCGACGTCGAATGAGTGAATTTGAATTGGGGGTAGATCGGTAAAAACGCAGAAATACATCGTTTGGAATATCCTGACTCTCACTGTGTGTTCCCACTCGCCGACAGGTTGAATGCTAACAATCCGAGCGTCTGTTGGCGACACGGTCATTAGGCGTGACTCAGGACTGCTGAGTGATGAGGACAGAAACCGTTTCTTTTTTTCAAGAGGAGCTCCCGAACAGCTGGCGTGTTTCTCACACGACCTCCACTCTCGCCGGCACTGCCGTGTTGGCCCGAAGCGAAAAAACACGCGGGGGGCGGGTTGGGAAAGATCGAGCTTCCAAATGACCTGGCAGGCAAAGAGCCCGCCGTGCTGGAATCTATTTTCAAATACGCCTCGAACACAAAGTTTACACTCAAGGTGGCCTGAAGCTCCCTCTGCATCCTGGCATCGAGTGCAGAGGGAGAAGTGAATCCTTGGCTGGAAGGGTTAAAGAGTTACCACCTGTCCTGATTTTCTTAAGATTGTCCGCTTGTTGAGGCAGCTGTCCTGGCAAGTCTAGGTCTCCGCGGGACAGTAAGAATGTCGTGTTTCGGTGAGCGGCTTCACACCGCTCGAGACGAAGCATTCGCATGCAGTTCTCTGTCCTCCTCCGGCACTCTGAAACATTCTTCCTCCCGCGATATGATTTGGTCAGCAGGTTGGTAGCACAGCAGTACAACCAGCTGTGCCTTACAGCGAGAAGAGTCCGAGTTAGATTCCATACTCAGACGCCTTTATATACGGATAGAGTTCGTATGTTCTCCCCCCAAATGATAGCTCCGCGAAGTGGCATATCACTTGGAAATTTATAGGAATCAAATACTCTAAACGTGTGACGTAGATTCTAAATTTGGAGGGAAAAACCGGCGGACCCGGAGAAAAATCCACGGCACCACGAGGAGAGAGACACGCAGACTCCAAACATGCAGGCATCGGGATTGGGATCGAACGTGACGACCTCCTGTATACCAGGCGAGGGAGTTAACATCTCGTCACCGACCAGAGGTGGTTACCCTGGGTCAGGGCCCATGGGTAGATAGGTAACCAGGGCAGGCGGCCGCAGAGTGCCTGTCTCAAACCTCTCCAAGCCCGTACGGGAATCGCCAACGCCATAAATGGGAAGGGTCATGTGGACGCCAACACCGATGTGATAAAAAAACGATCATTATGACCACCAGCTTTTTCAAGACCAATTTCACTCCACCCTGAGGCAATTCACACGGCCGTGACAGCGTGACGATGGTACGCCGTTACGTCGCGCCTAGCCGCGGGACGCGTTTAACGATCGCTGGGTAACTAGTGCGGTATTGCCGTACGTGCAATGGCACTGATAGATGCATGGAAGTGTGTGTGTATATATATGCATGCGAATGTATTTATGATTTATGCAAATCACATGCAAATTATACGCTAGCGTTGCATTTAGCCTACCTACTGGAGCGGATAAACCTGTGTACACACGCGCACACACACACACGCACATAAAAACGACAAATACCATAAAGAAGACAGTGGTAACGGGACAAAAAAATTATGGACTCTTGAATTAAACCGTGACCCCGAATCTCGACAATTTACTCGAATTGCTGTCGCGTTCAACGCGCTACATGCCCATCAATAAGTGTTGCCACTCGTGCATAATTAGTGCGGACGATTTCAGATTTTGGATAGGTCTGGCTCAGCACAACTGTTACTCTTGACCCATTAAATAGCTCGCATGCAGCTTCACACGGTCGTCACACACACAAACAAAGGCATTTTATCCAGGACATGTGACTTTGACTAGCCAACAAACAAAGGCAGTCTCCGCATCACGTGCTTTTGGATGCGATTTTGCGACCGTTTGGAACCCCCTTCGTCCCGATATTAGGAAGCTACTGGGAGCTACGCACTTTTCAATCAAGATTGAAGACTCATTCCTCTAAAACTGCTTTTTATGTTTAGTTTGTCGTTCTCCCCCCCCCGCACGTCTGATTATCATAGTTGGCTATGTACACTGCAAAAGAAGTTCAACATACGTACATTCATTGACCCTTCATTTCGTGATATTTGTCCATAGTTTGTCGAATCCAAAGGTGGCAGCCCCCATGCCAATCACGATTGTGGCCAGCGCGGAGGGCACGCGGGGGAGGGGGGGGGTGGTTGTGGTCTAGGAGGCGCCGCCCCCCTCTGCACGGTGGGTGCCAGTGTGTTGTTTCTTTCTTCTTCGCCTTACCAGCCGGAACAACTCGGTGACGCTGATTTCGTCAGGGTCGACCATCCGGAACTCCTCCTGCCTCGGCACCAGGTCCAGGCCCAGCTGCCTGGTCGCGCGCACACACACGGCCATGGGCAAGTCACCCTCTGTCCGTCGCCTGGACGGCAGTCGATGATTTCGGCATTTGTGGGGCGCTTGTAGTAGCAGCAAAGGCAGCAACAGCAGCGACAGTGGCAGCAGCAGCCTGTGCTGTTCTCACACACCACGATGCTATTGAGAGCGACATCTCTACTGTTTATCATCCTCCTTAAGCACGTAACACAGTGACCGTCAAAAGTCAGGTGATTGTGTGGGGGGGGGGGGGGGGGGAGACGCTCATGTCTGCCGGTAACTGTGAGCTGGTGGTGGAAATTCCACCAGGCTGCGTCGATATTTGCCAATGGGGATGTCTCCGTGACTGTTCGCTGCCATTCCTAGATTGGGGCGCATAAATTCGTGCATTCTTTAATCCGTTACTTTTTTTATTTTGTATTCATCACGGTTTTGCCGAGCAAAGGCCCAAAGCGCCGAGCGACCAGCAACACATAGAACTATTCAAAGTCGAATAGATAAAAGAGTTCATACATTTCTCTTGGGAGTGAGCAAGGTTATTATTAGGACATTGGAACAATTGACAATATGGGGGGGGGGGGATTCCAAATTAAAGCAATGCGAGCGGAGAGCACTGGTCAGTGGGTGCGTGAGTGTAATGTGGTGAGTGGGTGGGTGTGTGTGTGTGTGCTGTTCTGACCTACGATGTGGTGGTTGGGTGAGTGTGTGGTTGTGACAATGCAGCGTGGTGAGTGGGTAGGTGAGTGTGTGTGCTGTTCTGACCTACGATGTGGTGGTTGGGTGAGTGTGTGCCTGTGACCTGCAATGTGGTGGTTGGGTGAGTGTGTGTGCTGTTTTGACCTACGATGTGGTGGTTGGATGAGTGTGTGGTTGTGACATGCAGCGTGGTGAGTGGGTGGGTTGGGTGAGTGTGGTTGGTGACCTACAGTGTGGTGGTTCAACACAGCGTGAGACGAAACGGTCAGTCTTGGAAGACCAAATCCTCAGCAACTCAATGAGCGAAGTTCATGGGAACGGTACCCGTGGTAGTAGTGACGGACGAGTGACAAGGACGCGACTGACGGTGACTAGGTCAATCGACGTCATCCGAGTCACAACAACCAATAAGCATTCATCACCTCCCTCCTCTCCCTCGCTGTGGATAAACTGAATCTCGAAGCACAACTGCCATAAAACAGGAAGCGTACTCATTACCACGAGCGGATTCTCCCTCGTAAGAACAGACAGTGGGGGTCTCAGGGGGGCCATCGGCCCGATACAAAAACAAACAACAAAAAGGAGCACCATGTATTGCCACGGTAACATCCAATTAGCGGAGCTCTCAAACATGCCGTCGAAAGCTGCCCGGACGTTTCAGATGTCCGGGTGACCGGCATGAAATGTATCTACGCATGTATGTTGAATGTCTTTCGCACCGTACGTAGCCAACCGTGCGAATCGGAGGTGCGGGGGAAGGACAACAAACTATGGGTCTCTGTGTAAATCTATGGGTCTTCGTGCGAGTCTATATCTGTATGTATGTCCAAATTCTTTCGCACCGCACATAGCCAACCGTGCTAATCCCCGCTATACAATAGTGCGCAACGAAAACAAACGTACGGAATAATTTCCATTTTAATTTTCTCAAACTGCAGTTGATGCCACCCCCCGCACCTTTGCTGCCAAACGCTTTCTGCCCCGCTGCCAGACCCCGCAGCCGCTGCACGAGCAGACGCACGGCGACCCGCCACACAGCCCTGGCAATATCCCACCCGTCCGCTCCCGACGCCTTCCCCCGAAGGTCGCCGGCCCCAGAGGTCGCAACCGGGTACCCGATACCCGTACCCTACCCGATACCCGGCTACCCGTACCCGGCCAGGTACGGGTACGGGTACCCGTTTGCGACCCTGGTGCGGCCGGGTACGGGTAGGCCGTGAGTCACTGGTGAGTAACCGTTTGTCACTCATTTCGGGTAGGGTACGGGTAGAAAACGGGTACCCGTACCCGGCCGGGTACGGGTACGGGTACCCATTTGCGACCCTGGTGCGGCCGGGTACGGGTAAGGAATCAAAACCCGTTTGCAACCTCTGGCCGGAAACTCGCGGAGGCCGCCCCCGACGGGGGCCGCCTGGGCAATCGTCAAACTGCGGTCTGCAAAAAATAAAACCCGAATGCAAAGGCTCGGGAGCCGATGCCACGGTCGATGCCAAGCGCTCGTTGGCTAAAAATAGGTCGCCACGTGAGCGCCGCATCGCAACGACCGTGACGAACAAGCAACCACGGAACGGCCGCGCCGGCAGATGCACGTGCCGGGAAGAGGGAGGTGGGGGGGGGGGATGGAAAAAAAAACCTACAGCAAACCTGCGACCTCATTAACCCTTGGGCGCACCTATGATCCTGACGAACGCGGTTTACACAATTATTAATATTCGTCGCCCGTTCGGGAAAAGCCTACGGGGGTGGAGGGGGGAAGCATCCCAAACCGCCACGTGTGCCGCGCGGGAAGGGAATATTAAAAACGGGCGAAAGGTCTCGTGATTTTCGCCGCGCAGAATACCGCCGAGGTATTTGTTGCTTTGGCGGTGACGGCGGCGGCGGGGGGTGAGTTAAAGAATTAAAGAGTGGAATGGACGGCCAGGCATTTGTAAGGAAGCAATTTCATAATAGCGGCGAAGCATTCCCCTGCCCATGACGCCTCGGCCCGTGCTTTATCTTTGCACCGTGGAACAGCCGGCAAGTCGTCGTTAGCGGCAGTAACCGTGAGCGGCGGCACAAGCGAGTGCGTCGTGAGTGAGTGCGAAGCGAGCGCGGCAGCGCGTAGCGAGCGAGCCAGCGTGTCGGGAGCCAGCCGCTTTTGAGCAGCCACATCCAACATGTGCGAAATAATTTTGAACGCAGCGGCTTGGCTTCAGATTTTTCTATTCTTTTTTTTACTCGCTCTCACTCTCTTTTGGGCAAATTGGACTGCCTTCAGATTTCCAGCCGTGCAGAAAGGCTCCACAAGGGCGTATGCGTGCCGTCGGTGCGCTCGCCGCTTACCAAAGGAATACACGAGCCAGAGTTCACTCCCGCGGCTTCCCAAAATGTTCCGAAACGTAAGTGGCGCGCACGCCACGGATCTCGCAAATCTGCGGCATCACGTGAGCATTGTGAAATCAGAGCGGTTTCATAATGTTTTTTTTTTATGTGCAGCATCCAAGCAAGGGCAAGTGCGCCAATGAAGAGGATTTGGTCACAAGACTTAAAAAAAGATGGGTTAAAGTCATCAACATAACTCGAGATTCACAATGCACGCTTACCACCAATCGTGTCTCTCTACACTTACCAGCCAATTGAGGTGAAAGGGTCAAAGCAGCCCACGGACTGCGCAAAAACCCACCATGGATTCCATTCACCTTTTACATGCAGATAATTTAGAATTCGGACTGGCGCACCAGCATTAAAATGGGAATGAGGAGCCACTTTATGGGGTCCGCGGTGGTGAGATGTTAACTACCTCGCCTGGCACACAGGAAGTCGTGGGTTCAACCCCGACCCTGATGCCTGTATGTTTGGAGTTTAATGGGATTTTTTTCCGGGTCCTCTGGGTTTTCCCTCCACATTTATAATCGACTTGTGTTTGGAGTATTTGGCTGCTGTACATTTCCACATTCTACGCCACGTTGCTGAGCTATCACTTGTGGCCGGGTCGCTTCTGAAAACGAGCCATACAGCTCAAGCGAGCCTTAACTGGTAAAATATAAAATACATCATTGCTGGTGGCCCATTTGTCGTAAACCCACATTCGAGTACCCTATTGGGTAGACAAACGGCTCGGTAGCGAGTGGGCGGACCGCTTGGCCATCCAGCATCTTGGGCAGTCACTTTTGTCGACGTCTTCGGTTTAAAAAAAAAACACAACTGTCAAAGGAGTTGCTCTCATTGCCCTGCCGCTACTCACCGCAACCTTGTCTTCTTCACTCTCAGCCGCCACCCCCCCCCCACTCTCACGCAGATCGATATGCCTCGCCAACTAATTGAAAAACGCCTCCGCGCGAGAAGTTCGATGAAACGTCGTCGTCGGCGGCGATCGGGGGAAGACGCGCGCACGTCCTAATCGGGGGGGGGGGGTGGGGGGACATTCCCCTGATGCGCCGTCTTATTCAATCTATTAGGGCGCTACGAGCATTCGCTCCCCAGGGGAGCCGGTGTGGGGGGAGAGAAATGCAATATCCTTCCGCGTGGACATTCCACCATCGTCGGTCTCTCCGCGCTCGCCAGCCGGGCCTAAACTAAAACTGAGCTACAGTGGTCCCCTCGGTTAACGTGTTTTAAACCGTTCCACGAAAACTACTGTTGAGCCGAAATAACTGTTAGTATGGGAAGAGAGCTGTTTCCACTGCGAAAACAGGAAACGTAATGTAAACGAAGCCAGTCGAGGTCTAAACGGTTCACAAATAGGCACCACTGATTGGCTGAAGGTATGGCTCGCGTGCATCACGTGAACGTTCCGTTAATCAACAATTTTGACTTTAGTCGAAACCATGGGGTCCTATGGGAGGAAAAACGTTAATCGAAAAACCATTAACCGATATCACTGTTAACTGAGGAACTACTGTATTAAACTAAACTATGTTTATTTTACAAGGTTCAGGCCCACTTGGGCTGTTATTCTCTTTTTCAGAAGCGACTTCACCGCAAATGATAGCTCAACGAACCCGGAGAGAGCCACGCAAACACCAAATATACAGCAGGCGTCAGGGTCGGGATCGAACCCACGACCTCCTGTATACCAGGCGAGGTAGTTAACATCCCCCCCAAACCCAACGAGCATTGCCAGGCTGCTCCCATTTACGGCCACTCTACACCACCGCCACAATCCCGGCTCATTCCTGCTCCACCTACGACTTCGCTCTCCCCCTCCATCTCGTATGACCCCCCCACTGCCTTTCATTGGCCCCACTGCCCTCTGCCCTCTGGCCTCCGCAGGGAACATCTGCCATGGCGGCAGACACGATCCGGGCAGGAAGCAGACGGGAACGCGTGGGACGCGCACATTTCGCGAACTGCACGGCAACGCTGAGTAACGTCCTACACGAAAATAATAAAAAACCCGTGCCAAACGTCCAAATACGTGTAAGCAAATAAATAAACGGCCGTTATTAGACGGTTAAGCGAGTACGAAAAACAGTCGTTCGAATGTCATTTGCGAGAGAGAGAAACAAATATCTGTGGCATAATACCAAAGGATAAGACGTGATGGCTTATAAGAGGACAGCTTATATATCACGTTACATAAGCTGCTACTGCTGCTGCTGTTCCTGCTGCTCAAATGTGTTAATTTTAGCGTTGGGGTTTTGTTTTTTTTCCGGTTACCACGGAACAAATTGTGAAGCCATATGGTGCTGCCCTGCGGAATGCGGCATCTGGCGAGTCAGCAATTTTTCCTGCATCCGTGACTTTTACCCCAAACTCCTGGTTGCAGGAGGCTCAACTCTTCAAACCCCAAGACAAACCCTGCCAGGCCAACAAGCCATGCATGCCTACACCCAATCGTCGTCATCACCACCACCACAGACTCGCTCTTTCTCCAGCAGCCCACCCCGCAGACACTGATGCGCTCACAAAATTTAAGGCTGGACTTACGCTCGGTCACAGCCCTCAACTCTGACGGTTGCGTCTCGTCTGGGCTGAGTTCAACCACCACGTCTGCAGGTCACAACAACAACAACTTCTCCCCTCTCTTCAGCCTTCTCGCACTCCTCCGCTTGGGAATTACCTCCTCTCCCCGCCCCCTCCCCCCCCCCACCGTCCGTCATCCCTTTCGCAAAAGCTCTTCGAATAATAACAAATAATCCCAACGGTTAAATCTTGACTTAAAGCTGTCGTGACTGCAGGAATTAATATTCTTTGGGTTTTCGGTAAATTCACGCAGATAGAACAATAAAATAATAAAAAATAAAGATGAAAAAGTGAATAAAAAATTATAAAAATATCACGACGTTTCGATCGCGACACAAGCAATCAGGTGAAAATTTTGTATTATTTTTTTATTCACTTTATTTTAATTTTACATTTTTATTATTTTATTGTTCTATCTACGTGACTTTACCGAAAGACCCAAAGAATAATCACAACGGTCTTGCTCAATTTCTCGTCCGTTGCGACTTTGACGGGGTGCCGCTAACATCGCGCGGCCGCTTGCCACCACGGGCCCGTGCTTGGGTGTTTGTGTATCGTCGCCTTCACCCGTTGCACGCCGTTCTCGAGCTCTGCCAGCCAGAGCCCTCGAAACCTCCGACTTTAGCGCCGCGTTAGAAACGGCGCTCAAAGATGCGGACCGACACCGATATCCTGAGCAAAGCACCCGATGAACCGATCCCGCCGAAGAATCTCTGGGATTGATGACGGCTTGTTTGCCCTTCTGCGGCCCGCCCGGTACACTCTTCCTCTTAGGAGATTAGGAAATCACGGGAGCAGTGCACCTTTACATTATCATCTAGTAGAGACTATGTCCCACGTCGTGTCCAGAGACACTGTCCCACGTCGTGTCTCCCAGGGACGTACCGTGGAAAGAACAGCATCGCACAATAGCCAAGAGAGGGGTGGGGAGAGCTGTGTTCTAAACACAATGCGTGGAGCGTGATACGGTACGGTATTGTTCAGCAACCGAAAAAAATAAACGGGACTTTTAATGAACTGGGAAGACTCGCAGATTTCCCTGGGCAGCCACCTCAACAAGAGAATGATGCTGGAAAAGCCAGGACAGGAAGCAACCCGACCCCCCACTGCCCCCTATCTCACACTCACTCATTACCCCAGCCCTGACCTCCGCTGCGCTAATGCCCCTCTCACTCATTAACCCAGCCATGCCCTTCAACGCCCGATGCCATACTCATTTCCCGAGCCCTGCCCTCCGCTGCCCCAACGCCCCGCTCACTCAATACCCCAGCCCTGCCCTCAGCTGCCCCAACACCCCTCTTACTCAATACCCCAGCCCTGCCCTCAGCTGCCCCAACACCCAGCTCACTCAATACCCCAGCCCTGCCCTCAGCTGCCCCCACACCCCTCTTACTCAATACCCCAGCCCTGCCCTCAGCTGCCCCCACACCCCTCTTACTCAATACCCCAGCCCTGCCCTCAGCTGCCCCCACACCCCGCTCACTCAATACCCCAGCCCTGCCCTCCGCTGCCCCAACACCCCGCTCACTCAATACCCCAGCCCTGCCATCCGCTGCCCCAACACCCCGCTCACTCAATACCCCAGCCCTGCCCTCAGCTGCCCCAACACCCAGCTCACTCAATACCCCAGCCCTGCCCTCAGCTGCCTCAACACCCCGCTCACTCAATACCCCAGCCCTGCCCTCAGCTGCCCCAACACCCCGCTCACTCAATACCCCAGCCCTGCCTTCAGCTGCCCCAACACCCAGCTCACTCAATACCCCAGCCCTGCCCTCCGCTGCCCCCGACGATGCCCCCCACCCCCCCCCCCCCCCCCCGCTCACTCATTGCCCCAGTCGAGGCGTGCCGTGGAGTGGCGCTTGACGTCACGGATTTGCTCCTGGGTGAGCACTCCGGAGAGCAGCTGCCGGCGCAGGTCCAGCAGCTCCTGAATGACGTGTCGCAGCCGGTGGAACAGATCGCCGTGGTTCCTCTGCATGGCCGCACGGAGACACCCACGGACGTGGGAGGAGGGGGGGGCACTTGTGTTAGTATCGTCGTAGTTATCGTTGGTCGTGATCGTCGTAAAGATTCGTAGAGATACGTAGATATTTAGACAGATGCATGGAGACTCATAGAGACTCACAACGATACGTAGAGATTCACGGAGATTCGTAGAGACTCATCAGTTTGACTCCTGGTCCGCTATCAGTAATTACCCAGAGTTCACAACAACAACAACAACCACCATTCGCGGTGACATCACCACAGTACTTGTACCGGGCTACGTGCACTTTAAGGCCACATGAAGTGTCAAACGCCTGCTGGCCGGAGGTCATGGGACAGACCCAGGTGCCATGGGTTGACTGACTGACTGACAGATGCACCACCTTGTGCCCCCTACTGTGCCAACTTGCTGTGTTTTAGCCGCCTTGCGCTCCACTCGTTGTTGTGAGCGTCGCTCCTCTGCCCTCCCTCGTGGCTGGAGGGCGATTGCCTCCAACTGCCCAGTAGCAGCGCCCTTCACGAGCCTCCTCCACAGAGGCCGATCTTGACACCGCTGGTACCAGTCATCGGAAAATCCAATCAGCTTCACATCCTTTGTGTGTTAGTTTGTTGTCCTTCCCCCCGCAACTCCGATTAGCATGGTAGGCTACGTACGGCGCGAAAGAAGTTCAACGTACATACACGATGTCGTCTACACTCGACGAAACGTGCACGTCGCGCGGTAGATCAGCCCACTCCATCTCTTCTCTAGCCCGTGCCGTGCCCGTTTAGCCCCCTCTATCCGGCCGAACAAAAGCCGTTTAGGCACGCGGTGGCTGGGCTGTATATATACACACACACACGATATATTGTCTCAGTTCCATCGCTGGCTTATCTCATTATAAAACCTAAACATCAATGGGCACTACGATGCCGAAGCGATTACGCGCGGGCCAGCCGCCCCCGCGGTGGGCGATGAGGCGGCAGCACAGTAAGCAGGTGGCCAATCCCAATCTGTTTTGAACCTCAATGTTTTTTGTACCTGGTTGAATAAAGGTGAAATAAAAAATGAAAATAAATATTATGTTTGTTGCGCTCTCCTCCCCCCACCCCCCGAAAGAAAAGTTTTTCTAAATAAAGCAATAAACACATCAATAAATAAATAGACAAATAAGTCGTGCCCGGGCCCTTTTAAAATCACGGCACCATGGTGTCAACAGGTAAGGATCGCACAGGGAGGAGAGTGTGACACGATCAAGTTCACGACATCATGAAGTGACCCCCCCCCCCTGCCCCCAGCCGCAGCAGGTTGCGATCTTGGGAAAGAGAGACCAAGGCACTCGGCAGCGAGAGTGATATTCATATTCTTAGGTTTTTTCGGTAAAGTCACGTAGGTAAAAAAATAGAAAATAATAAAAATAAAATAAAAATCACGACGTTTAAAAGGCAACACAAGCTTCGTGCCTCCGAAACGTCGTGATGTTTATTTAATTTTTATTAATTTTAATTTTATTACCTACGTGACTTTACCGAAAAAACCTAAGAATATGAATCCTTGCAGTCACGAAAGCTTAAAATCTAGAAGCGAGAGTGATGTTCCGCTTTCAACGTTTCATAATTGCGGCCGAGTGAGGCCACCGTCGCTGTGACTTCCTTTTCACAGCTCCAAATTCCGAGAATTAAGAAATATCACGTTGAGTGCGACACGGTGACTCATGCTGTCACCGCACGGCTGCACGAGATGGAGAAAGCACTGCCCCCACCGTGTGGACCAGAGATGACGTGGAGTGCATCTCGTGTGTAGCCCTGCGGTGCCCGCTTCCGTGTGACGTTCTCCAGCTCAAGGGTTCGCGCTGCCGTGCGAAAGATCGGAATGAACGGATGTTTTTTTTGCGTCGCCATACGACACCGATAAATAAGAAAAATGGGAAAAGTGTCTTTTCTTTATACTCTTATCCCTACTTGTGTCACGATAGACCCTCAAGAGACCACGAATGGACACAACACAACAACATGCCCAGAGACTAATTTCTCAATCAACATGTTCAAGGTCGCTCGCAGACTAGAGCAGGCATGCGACTAGTAACCCCACAGCCGCAGCAAGGGGTACACTTGATGTGGTATGACAAGGTGAGGACATATTTTCAGGGCCGCCGACCCAGACAGACCCGGCCGAAATGAAGCCCTGAACGTCTCCAAGCCAGGGCGTGCCAACACCGCAAAGTTAACACCACGGCAAAAACGCGCTGTTTATTTCAGGACACCGGAGGATCAGAGTAAATTGAGAGTTAAAAAAGGCAGTGGCTGTGGTAGTAGGCCGGCGGCAGATGATAGCAGTGGTGTGTCTCTGGTCAGCGTCTTGGCAGGAGGTCGCTTGCCCCCCCTTAAACTGCAGTATGTGTGTATGTTGAACTTCTTTCGCACCATATGGTGCCAAGCGTGCTAAATCGACGACAACAGAGAGACGACAGGGGCAGCTTCCTCCCCCCCTTCCCCCCAAACACGCAGAGCACCCATTCAATGATCGCGGGAGTCGGGGACGATAACAAAGTGGGACAGCCAGCCCCCCCCACCACCCTTGGCATCGCTGAGCGACTGCGGCCACAATCTGATGTCTCTAATTATTAAGATTAGCGACAGCGGAGTGGAAGGGTAGGGAAGCCGATCGCGCGACGGTGAATGCGTGCGTGCAGGATTGTGGTGTTTCCCCAACAGGCCACCCTTTTGATTGTTTTTGTCCGCGCGCGTGCATGCGTGTATCGGCCAGTCATCTCAGTCAGTCGACCCATGTCACCTGGATCTGCCCCGTGACCTCCTGCCAGCGGGCATTCGACACTTCACGTGCCCTTAACGTGCACGTAGCCTGGCACAAGCGCCGTGGCGACGTCACTGCCACTTAGTGGTGAATGGCGGTTGTTGTTGTAGCATCGCTTCGTCGCGAGCCCCACTTTTGTTTTGCTCCGTGCGATCGACGGCGGCGCGCAAAATAATCGCGCAGGGGGAGACGGTGAAACATGACCAAAGCCGCACACCCAACTAATATTTGCATATGCTTCCAATTTTTCTTAAATATATTTTTTATTACTAAGAAAAAGTATATATTACAAAAAAATTTTTTACTTTGCGTTCGGAACACACACACGCACACACAGACACACACGTGAAAATAACTTGTGTCAGTTTGACGTTAAAATATGCACGGCCGGCAACGGAGATCCGGCAAAACCGAGACAACTCAGCGGGGCTCGCACCGCGCACCGCCAGCCGCCCGGGCACTTCAAGTGGGCGGGAAAACAAAACGTGACGGCCGTTCTCACGATTGGCAGAACGGAACGGACAAACGCGTCCCCGTTGTGTCTCGCGCAAACGGAAGACGTGGGTCAGGAGAGCTGCCGCACGACGGCGCTCGCTCGGCGGTGCCCTGCATCTGCGGATTTCTACGCGAGCATTGCATCGCCCCCCCGCCCCCTCACCCCCCACCACTCCCCCCCTTCCACCTAATGGGGTGGTAATTGAGATGAATTGCGCCGCTGTCCACCGTCCGGGCGAGTCGCGTTTTACCGGCGGTGATGTTTTGTCGCTGCCGCGTGGGTTTGCGAATCGCCGCCGTGCGAGATGGGGAATCAAGTGTGGGCAGGCAATTATTTTTAAACGAAGGAGGTGTTTTCATATTCATGCGATCTGTTTTTTTCATCATTTAGCCATGGGCTGCGGTATACATTTCAACGCTGAATATTACACACTGCCAGCGTTTTGATGTGCCACCGGTCCACAAAGAGAATTTAAAGTGGGATATAAGTACAAAGACAAAGATTCCCCCCCCCCCCCACACCGGTGTAGCCTTAACAGGCTGTTGGGGAAAGTGCTATTAGCGAGCACCTATGAAGGCTGGCACGGCACACGAAGTGGTGGGTGGTGCCTCTTTAGCCCGGATTTCGACACTCACCGTGGCCACCTCAAGAGTCCCGGTCATTTACGTCCCATGAAATATCGAGCGCGTTATGATTTGCATCATAATCATCATCATTATTTTTGGTCCATAAACACACTTACACTTTCGCGACCAATATTATTTATTGTAACGTTTTTTTGCGGGGTGAGATCACGCAAATGTAAATGTGTCGCAAACCCACATCCGCCCGACACGGCCAATTAGTTACTACTTCAGCACCACCGGTTGTGTTGGAGAGCAAACCCACAACAATCTGGCGATCGCCTGATGACGCCTGTTGTTATAAGCACCAGCAAAACGTCCAAGTACTCAACGCTCTTGCGGGTTGTTGCTCTCCACACTACGCACGCAACCGGCGTGCGCCGAAGCAGTGACTAATTGGCTGTGCCGGGCGGAGGTGGGTTCGCGACGCATTTTCATTCACGCGATCTCACCCCCCCCAAAAAATAAAACACTTCATTACGAACGTACAGAGGCGTGCGCCACGCGCACCAACGCACGCTCACCAGGTAGAGCTGCTTCCACAGGAGGCCCCACTCGCGCAGCGTGCTCGTCACCTCCGCCACCGTGGGGTCCTCCACGGCGGCCACCGTCTCGTACTTCCTGCTCCGCCACACACAAAGGTACCCGTGAGGACTTTGGGTTTGTTTTTTTGTGGCCCGTAGCAAACACGCGAGCCCGACGCAGCACGCCGAACGGCTCGCGTGACCGGGTATCGCAATTCACATGGAGACAGTCCCCGACGCAACTGGACTCACATGAAGGAGTGGGGGGGGGGGGGGGGGGGGGGAGACGGTGAAAGGAGGGGGAAAGGGGGCCCACGCTGCCCCAAGCAAGTGGGGGACACCACGTGGAGGGAGAAGATGAAGGTTTAAATGGGGAGGGGATAGCCCGGGAAGGGGGTAATGGTACCCCGCGTAGCCTCTAAGAGACCGTTGGGTCAAGTTCTGCGTGTGGACACCGATGAAAGCCGGCACGGCGACCCAAAACGGGCACAGTACAGCCGGCACCATGCCCCAGCCACCTTTTTCTCCCTAGAGCTGATGTTTATGCATCACGCCAGGTACTCATTTAAGGCCGAGTCGACTTAGGGGAGGAGGCCCAAGACGAGTTCAGGTAATCGCCGCTAATCTTGACCGCCTGATGATGATGGTGATGATCACATGCTGAATTTGTGGGTTAGCAAGCTCTCACACTAATGCCATAACGTGTCTTCTTTATCCAAACTCACACAAGACCATAATACCATAGACATACAAATGTAATGACACACACATATATATATATACACACAGAGAAACGCACACATATACACACAGAGAAACACGCGCGAACACACACACAAACCCTGTGTGCACACCATATACGCGTGCGTGCGATTTATACACAGTCCGCACACCATCCTGATACAATATTCTAATTAAAGCGCCGTAAAGCAAAGACACGCAAAAGGCGCGTTGCTTCTCCCTATAGGGACGCTGATTTGCATGGCGGCCATTGACTAAGGTCCTGTGAGTCACACGGCGGAGCCGTACGTCTTCCATGCAGTCATTAATTTGCACTTGTTATCCGCAACCAAAAATAAATAAATAAAGACCCTCAGAATTAATTTCGCCGTGCGGCAGGGGGGGGGGAGAAAGTCGACCGAAGCTCGTGCAGCAGTACGTCACGGGGCCCGACACGGGAGCGGTCACTTACAAGGGCCGAACGTTCATCTCCGTCGGCTTGAGAGCGCCGTTGTATACAAACGCACTTGAGGCGTCCGTGTGACAATCTTATTTTGAAGAGAAACCGTTAAGATGGACAGCCTAATAAAACGTCCTCGTGGCGTTCGGCAATAGGAATGTGCCCCGGCAGGATTAAATAGTGCTGCTGTTATATTTGCCTCAACAGCTCTGGAAATGAAACCTAATTCTCCGCAAGCACTGTTGAACAATTGCGAAAATTTTAACCACTTTTTTTTGTTTCAGAAAACTTTTACCGTAAGCCGAGGATATGTGAAAATTAAACTTTAAGACAACCCGCATCATTGTCTCTCCATGCAGTGCGAGAGTTTTTTAAGCTCCTGCCCGATAGCAAATCCTCCTACCGTCGGCTTAATTCGGTGCCAAAATTCTGACGGGCCTCACGTGTCCTGCAGACGTAGAAAGGCTACATGAAAGGCCTCGTGGAAAGCCTCGTGAAAAGCCACGTGAAAAGCCACGTGGAAAGCCACTTGAAAAATCACGTGAAAAGTCAGGTGAAAAGCCACTTGAAAACCCACGTGGAAAGAGTATGAGGCACATTTTTGCATCCGTAGACCCCGTGATGCCGCATGCGCGACCTGATCAAATCAATTCGTGTGCAGATACAGCCATGCTGGAACGGGCAAGCGGGCGCGCGCACGCACGCACGCACGCACGCTCGCCGCGTTGCCACAATGAGTTCGTTAATGAGGTGACGCATCCTTAGAGGAGGGAACCCGCCCATTTAACAGACCAAATAAGCAGCACATAAAGGGGGAATGGTGATTAACTTCTGATGAAGACGAGCACTGCATTCAACAGACGGGAGAAGGGGACAGTGCCGGGGCAGTGGCTAGCAAGCTCGCCCTACGAATCCAGCGAGTTCCATTTCCCAGCCACGGCCGACCGGTGACATCTGAACTGACCCTGGTTTCCACACTTCACCAACCCTCACTGGCCAGTGCGGTGAAAGTATGGACAAACAACACACACAAACCGAAAGCATGCGGAGGCTTTCATCCAGCCGTGGGCTGAACAAAGGGCTTGAAATTATTCGTGTTGTTATTATTATTGAAGAGAGGTACCAATAACAAAAACACGTAATTACTCACACCAGCTGGCTGTGGAGGATTTCAGAGGCGTCAGTGTGAACCCATTCGAAAACAAACGTGACCCCCTTTGGAGAGCAAGAAATGTTCTTGCGTGGAGGAGGGGGTGTGCCCCCCCCTCATTTAAATACTGACCCTGGAGGGGTCACTCCTGCAGCATGCACACTATACTTTGGCAGAATCGAGCCAGCCGCCGTCCAAATCTAAATGCTCTTCCTCCCACTACGCCAGGCTGGTTTCGCCGTGACGTCAAATAAGGAACGAGCCACAAGCCCCGCCCCTGGCCCTGCTTGGCCCCGAACCAGGTCCGGGTGTCTTGGCGTGGCCGTCGTATCGCGGTTTTTGTTCCGGTTCAGCTCAACAAACGGCCAAATCTTCTTGGTTCTTTTGGTAAAGTCACGTAGAAGGGAAGTAATAAAATTATACAAATAAAAATATTATATTATTTTATTATATTATTTTATTGTGTTTTATTTTATTATTTTATTACTTCCCTTCTACGTGACTTTACCGAAAGAACCAAGAAGATGAATCCCTGCAGTCACGCAAGCTTTAAATCGAAATTTAAACAGCCAAATGTAAAACTCCCACAGCGTGAGGGACCCCACGCTGGTTCGGCTCGGATGTGCCAGTGGAAAATGGGGTCGCCATGAGGTCGTGGGTTCAATCCCGACCATGACGCCTGTATATTTGGAGTTTGCGTGTCTCTCTCCCTGTGGTCGCGTGGATTTTTCTTCGGTTCTTCCGGTTTTTCCCTCCACATTTAGAAAGATTAGAAAGATGCGTTCAAGAGTGTTTGGCCGCTATGCATTTCCATGTGATAAGCCACTTCAATAAGCCATTATTTGTGACTAGGTTGCTTCTGAAAAAATAGCTATATAGCTCAATGGACCTTCTCTAAAAAAATATAAATAGTTTAGTTTTAGTATTAACGACATTCGCATCACCTCTTTGAAGGGGGGGGGGGGGGGGGTTAAAGTTCACGCTTGCCCTCACTGGCCGCCGGCTTGGTGAGGCCACGAAAAAAAAGATCCCCATGTAGCCTTAAAAGACTGTTGGGGCAAGTGCTGTTAACGAGCAGCACCTATGAAGGTCGACACTGCACACAAGGGGGTGGGTGGCCAGCTCCACACCCGGCCGCCTTTGTCTCCTAGCGGCGATGTTTCCACACCGCACCAGGTACTCATTTGAGGCTGGGTCGACCTAGGAGAAGCCCAGGACCGGTTTTAGATATTCGTCACTGATGTTAGCCGTGAACCGAAATCCAACTGGGTAGCGCAGCACACTACACAAAGAGAAAAACCAAGATTCCCGATATAGCCTTAACAGACTGTTTGGGGCAAGCGATGTTAGCGAGCCCCCATGATGGCCGACAAAGACAAAGATTCCCTGTATAGCCTAAACAGACTGTAGGGGCAAGTGCTGTTAGCGAGCACCTATGAAGGCCGGAACGGTACACGAGGGGGTGGGTGGCCAGCACCACGCCCGACCGCCTTTGTCTCCGTAGTGGCAATGTTTACACACCGCACCAGGTACTCATTTTAGGCTGAGTCGACCTAGGGGAGGCCCGGGACCGGTTCAGATAATTGTCACTGATGTTGGCAGTGAGCGGGAATCGAAACCCGTGTCGCCGGGTTCATAGAGCAGCGCGCTAACCGCTCCACTATCGCTCCCGACACACACTTACACACACACGCGCACGTGCGCGAGCGAGAGAGAGCGAGCGAGGCAGCAAATGTTGGCCGAGATTCCCGACGGCTTCCAAGCGCGGGGTGGCTACTCTTGGCCCCTCTTTCAGGAACGCCGGCCGACCGCTAAGCGCCGGGGGTTGGCTTGACATTTCGTATCGTTTCGCCGTCGTAATGAAGATTCTTAGCCTCCCAGACCCCGGCTTGGCGAGAACGCGAATGGCTTTGTTTCTCACCCTGGGTTCAACGTAATCGGCGCAGCGCTGCCTTATCTGCGACCTATACATGCATTAGCATTAGGGGGGGGGGGGGGGGCGTCTGACGGAGATGAACATGAATGTCTCGGCACTTGCAAGGGGTAACCCGCTCGCGTAGGGAGAGGCTCGGCCACTAACGTTCGGAAACGTTTCGCCGGTTGCCGCTCATTCGCTGCGTTCATTGTACGCGCGGCCCCATTCAGGCCTTCCCCACGCCGTGCGGCTCCATGGGCCACCATGTGACGATGCCTCATCGCACCGGTCGCAGCGGTTCAGCGAAGGCGAGAAGCGCAGGAAGTGGGAGCGTGGAACTACCCTCCGACGATGGATTTCACTACGCTGGCTAAATACGTCGCCCCGCTGCCTCTCGCGACCCCGTTTGATTGCGGCGGCTGCTCATGCGGGCAACTATCCACAGGCTCCAAAAAACCCTGCTAAGCTTCCGAGATCCGATAAGATCGGGCGCAATTCCGGGCGATTTGCCCATTGGCGCAGTGCAAATTCGAAGTTGAGCTGCCAAGGGAAGTGATGTGGGTCTGCGTCGGGGACGCGCGCTTCTGAAATAGCACACTGTGACCCGCGTTGGATTCTTTCAGGTCGCTCCAGCGAGAACGTGAACACCTCTTGTGGAGTCAGGAGCACCCGGCAAATATAGATAGTCAGGCCGCTAAGAAAGCTCAAGCCATTTGGACTTTTTTTTTTATCATGGCACTTCTGCAGTTTGTTTGACACGTGTGCAGCCATTGGGGAGATGTTAACTCCCTCGCCTGGTATACAGGAGGCCGGGGGTTAGATCTCGTCCCTGGCGCCTGCTGTATATTTGGAGTTTGCTTGTTCTCCCTGTGGTCGTGTGGATTTTCCTCCGGGTCCTCCGATTTTTCCCCTCCACATTTAGAATCAACGTCACGCATTTAGAGTATTTGGCTGCGATAAATTCCCACGTGATAAGCCACTTTGTTGGCTTAATGATGTGCACGCCAAGATGAATTGCCTTGCAATGTGAGGGGAAGAGGTGCGTTGTGTTGTGTGTACGTATGCACAATTGTATGTTGAACGTCTTTCACACCGTACGTAGCCAACCATGCTTATCGGAGGTCCGGGTTTAAGAAGATCACACTGAGAAATGGCAGCCCTTTAAACGCTCCGATTAGAGGTGCAGTACAGGCTTACAGGTTTCCGATCACGATAACAACCTCGAGCTCAGTGCTCTTAGGGCATGAGTGGGGGCATCCTCTGCTCACCGAAGGCCGTGTAGGGCTTGTCGAAAAAACTTTGTGGCGGGCGACAACACTTCGGTTCCCACCGCGCCTCTGATTAGCACCGTTGGCTACGTGTGGTGCCAAACAAGTTCAACGCACCTGCACTGAACTCCGATCGCGCTGTGGCCGCACGTATCCACCGCGAGCTCACAACTACTTGAGAGGCAACGCAAATTTCCAGCGTCGTCAGCTCCCCAGCATTGATTCGAGCAAGGCATTCCAGCAAGGCATTGCCTCAGCGTTTGTCGAAACTGGGACCGAGTTTTCTTTTTCCTGAAACAATGCTGCCGACATTGTTGCACTGCCGGGAAGGCCGCGGCGGCCGATGGGGTTGTGTACGAAATACTTTTTTTTTGCACGTGGAGAAACCGAAACGTGAAGGAGACGAATTGTCCACTGGCTCATTCTTGAAGACAAACGGGTGACTGAGCATGCCAAACTTGTGTTTGTCAGGCAAATGCTTGTGAAACGGAGGTTTTTTGTAGGCCAAAACTACGATCGATATTTGTTTGTTGATGATAGCCAACGGAGTAGTTTTCATGCCAAAACTGTATGGGTTGATGACATATTGGCATAAACAGCGCAGTGCTATGTGGACTAGCTTAAAAAGGAAACACGGATCAAGCAGAACCTGAGTTGTCAGGAGTTGTCAGTAGAAAATGTTCCCCTCTGATTCACCCCAATTAGTCTGGTTAAAATGCTTGCAATAACAGACACCCGCTCACCCACCCACCCAGCCACCCACCCACCCAGCCACCCAGCCAGCCAGCCACCCAGCCAGCCAGCCACCCACCCACCCACCCAGCCACCCAACCAGCCACCGACCCAGCCACCCACCCACCCAGCCACCCAGCCACCCACTCACCCACCCACCCACACACCCCACACCCCCACCCACCCAGCCAGCCACCCAGCCATCCACCCAGCCATCCACCCAACCACCCAGCCACCCACCCAGCCACCCACCCACCCAGCCACCCAGCCACCCACCCACCCACTCACCCACCCACCCAGCCATCCACCCAGCCACCCACCCACCCAGCCAAAGCCACCCACCCACCCAGCCACCCAATCACCCACCCACCACTCACCCAGCCGACTCACCCACCCACCGACCCAGCCAGCCACCCACCCACCCAAAAAGGTGCAGTCTCATCTCACCCTCTATTGCCGACGGTCGCTTCCTTCACGTGAATGTGGGAGGCCGGGAAAATCCCCTGAAAGAAACAAACATGACGTTATTCAGAGTGCAACGTACAAGTCATAGTGTTTAACCACAACACAAAGTGTGTTCATAGCCACCCGTCGTGGCCAGCGTTGACATCGATGTGATAGCGCAGATCGAAGGTCATCAACCACCTTCATCGTTATTGAACATTGCCTTGTAAGTGAAACACAGGGATATATTTGGGGTTATAACGTCCACAGCTCAGGTGGTTAAAATGGTTAAAACCTTTCAGCCCTTTGCCAATCTACCGCTGGATAAGGGCCTCTCCACAGTGTCGTTAATGAGGGTTTATTTGAGCATGACATGCATTTTGGCATAAACACCGCAGTACTATGTGGCCTAACCTAAAAAAACAAACAGAGATCAAGCGGAGCCTGAGTTGTCTGGTAGAAAATGTTCCCCTCTGATTCCCCCCCAATTCGTCCGGTTAAGATGCTTGCAGTGACAGCCACGAAGCCCCTCAGTCTCTCACCCACTCACCTACCCAACAACCCACCCACTCACCCACCCACCCACCCACTCACCCACCCACCCAGCCACCCACCCACCCAGCCACCCACCCACCCAGCCACCCACTCACCCACCCAGCCACCCACTCACCCAGCCACCCACCCACCCAGCCACCCACCCACCCACCCAGCCACCCACCCACCCACCCAGCCACCCACCCACCCAGCCATCCACTCACCCACCCACCCACCAGCCACCCACCCACTCACCCACCCAGCCACCCACCCACTCAACTGTACACCCACCCACTCGCCCACCCAAACACCCACCCACCCAGCCACCCACTCACCCGTCCACCCACCCAGCCACTCACCCACCCACCCAGCCACCCACCCACTCACCCAGCCACCCACCCACTCACCCAGCCACCCACCCACTCACCCAGCCACCCACCCACTCACCCAGCCACTCACCCACCCACCCAGCCACCCACCCACCCACCCACTCACCCAACCAGCCACCCACTCACCCACCCAGCCACCCACTCACCCACCCAACCACCCACACCGATTGGTGCGGGTAGGTTAATGGGGGGGGCGGGGCCTGGGCTGGGATCATCAAACTCAGGTCGCCAAGTTCATAGCTCGGTGTGCCGCCCCATGTGACCACCGCTCTCCCGCCCCCTCAGTCTGTAATTACTCTTGAAGCCAAATTGGGCAAAGCGTACCGACGAGGGTCGAGAACCGTCTCATCTCATTTCTTGTGAAGCGAAATTGGAAAAATGTCTGCCGGGGGAGGGTGGAGGTGGGGGGGGGGGAAGGTGGGGGGGGGAGGTGGGGGGAAGCTGAGGGGGGGGCGGGAAAATGGGGGGGGGGGCTCACCTTGGCGTCGGGATTCTTAACGTTGAAGCCCCGGTACCAGCCTGCTCGCAAACGACAAGACACCTAAAGTCCCGCGAACAGCGAACACAACGCGCTCCCCGGACGGCGTGGTTCCAATGGGCATTTTAAAAACAGGGGGGTCAATTTACATTTCATGAATGTGCAGTGAGGGACGCTGCTGCTGCTGCTGAACGCATTTCCATACTGATGCGATGGGGGTAGCTCATTTCCATCAGACCGCCCCGTGCCAGAGTGTTGGCCAAATGTATTTACAAAAATAAAATCTCATAAACGCACCTGGTGCATTGGCTCGTAAGCAAAAAATAAAACGCCGCCTTTGATGCATAATGTCTCGGTGAATCGTCAGTGAACATGCAGTGCTTCTCACGAAAAGATGGCTAAAGATAGTTGTTTTCTTTATAGATTAAAAAAAATAACTCATTAAAGGCAAAGTTTCAGCTTTGCAATTTCTTGCCCACACCTTTTCCGATGGAAGGGGTTACACTAAAGGGAGCTCTGGGGGGCTTTTTCTGGAGGGTAGTTGGCCTATTCCTCCATATCCTGGCCTGGAATAGGTGGCAATAGCCACACTTTACCCCATTACACGTGACCTGCCGATCAACTGTTGCGTACCCATTCACACAGGTGGGCAGACAGAGGGTTGGGGAAATTTAAGAAACGAGGCACGTTAAGTTCAACTTCCTCGCCGGGAGGTCAAACCGGTGAGCTCTGCCCAGTAATTCCGGTGCGCTAACCATTCCACCAGGGCAGCATTCCTAAATTGCTCGTGTCCCGGTTGCATGCGATATTTTTAGCGGACAATGAAGTTTTTACAAAAAAAAATTAATGTTTTTTTTAATGATGGCTGAAGGTAAGCGTGTTAGAAAAGGGAAAATGGGTGAGATCTCTCCAAAAAAGTTGCAATAAAAAACCGAGCCACTCATTTCACAACTGTCACATTCAATTAGGTCAGTCGTGCATTTGTAACATTAATAAATTACCCTGTTAATTTACGTTAAGTCGTTTAAAAAAAAACTGTATCGAATCAATTCTATAAGGAGCGGCAAGAGATTGATATTCACCGCTTGCGGTAGACATCGCGAATCGAAATCTGTTTGGCCAAGCGAGTCACCACATGGGTGAATTAAAAAAGAACACAAGCTATGAGTTTGAAACCCCGCGGAACGCTGCATCACACTGCGGGACGAGATACATTTTGTTCTGCATAGAAACTGCCAGAGAACCAGATGGGTGTTGAAATCAGGCACGAAAATGTAAGATCTCATTAATTCTAACTGTTGTGTGGAGAAACTAGCACACCAGTGACTGCTGCTGAGAATCCCAGATATGAAAATAAAGAACTGAAATAAATAAAAAAAATACTCGCTTCCTTTGCCGCATTATGACTCAAACCATTTCAATCTCTCAATTCTCCTTTTTTTATAGCTCAAAGATAAAAATAACTAAACTTACCCACGAGCTCACCATCTGTGCCGACTAGTTCTTTTTTAAAAAGCTGCTTCAATTAAAAAGAAAAATCATCATTATTTTCATTCCTTGAATCAGGGCGGTGCTTTCAATTGGCATTGGCGGCAACTGAAGTCAAAGCCAAGAGACTCTCACCTCCCTCCCCCCAATCCCGTTACCTGCGCTCAGAGACGCTTGTCACGTCATGGGCGGAATATAAATGCAATCTCATCTCCATCACCACCACCAGCAGCAGCAGTCCACTCTCGGAACTCACGGAGCATCTACACAAAGCCACTGTGGCCAGCAGGGCCTCGTCTGGTCACCAGATGAGGTTGGGGGAGTCGTGTTTGTGTGTGAGTGTTGGTGAGTGTGTGTGAGTGTGGGTGAGTGTGTGTGAGTGTGGGTGAGTGTGAGAGAATAGGGGGGGGGGGCAGGGAGGAAGGCTCGTGGACACTCACCATCACTACCATTCGAAAATCTACACGGCTTCTCAATTACATTTTAGAAAAATCTTCCCTCCTTTAAAAAACACATTCTTTAATTCCCGAATCAAGCCGTCTTTTTAAATTGGCTCCAACCGAGGCCATATCCCCTCGCAGCAGCGGCAGCCACAGCGGTTCCCGAAGAACTCTGCACTACATCGGCACATTGTCAAGCTGACCGGCACAGTCGGTGCCGGTCAGCCGAGCGGCGGCGGGGGAGCAGTGGGGCGGTGGGGAAGGAGAGCCGACACTCACCGTCGAACCGTTCCAGAAGCTGCACGCCTTCGCCGATGTCCAGGGCCAGCCCATGGGGCACGCCGCCGGAGAAGCTGCAAATGACTGCGCGCGGCAAACACGCACAGAGACGGCACCGACGGGCACGGTTGAGTCCGCGTCAAAACGCCGCGGCCTCCACGCCGAGCCGCAGTGCCCCGGGCTCCAGGCCGAGAAGCGACGTGCCGCCGCGTGCCAACGCCGCGTGCCAACGCCGCGTGCCAACGCCGCGTGCCACCGCCGCGTGCCACCGCCGCGTGCCACCGCCGCGTGCCACCGCCGCGTGCCACCGCCGCGTGCCACCGCCGCGTGCCACTGCCGCGTGCCAACGCCGCGTGCCACCGCCGCGTGCCACCGCCCACGTGCCAACGCCGCGTGCCAACGCCGCGTGCCACCGCCGCGTGCCACCGCCGCGTGCCACCGCCGCGTGCCACCGCCGCGTGCCACCGCCGCGTGCCACCGCCGCGTGCCACTGCCGCGTGCCAACGCCGCGTGCCACCGCCGCGTGCCACCGCCCACGTGCCAACGCCGCGTGCCACCGCCGCGTGCCACCGCCGCGTGCCACCGCCGCGTGCCACCGCCGCGTGCCACCGCTGTCTCCGTATCGCCGAGGCTGCCACGGGCTGCCCGGGCGTCTCGTCGCGTTTTTTGGCTTTCGGTGTTAAAACGTTGCAAATTCGTTTTGGGGTTTTGTGTGTTTTTTATTTACTCACGCAAGGAAAGTTTCTTTTTTCCCCAAGGGTTTTTATTTATTATTTATCTCACTCAAGCTAAATGCATTCTTGTAGCTGGTTTCACGTTGCGTAACGCGCAAGTATTTTTTGACACCTCGCTTGTGCCCTGTTGGTTATCAGGGTCCTTTGGTCAGTGTGGGTTGATGAAGGGGGGAGGCAGGAATCGGTTCAGATATCGTTCCTGACCGATGTTAGCCGTGGGATGGGAATCCAACTCAGGTCACCGGGTTGCAAGTGCAGTGAGCTAACCGCCACGCCACCACTTCCCTCATTCGGATAATCAGGGGTATATTTTTGTGTCACAGGCACACATTAATGTAGGCATGCCGTGGGGGAGGGAGGGGTGGCACAGCGTTTAGCGCACTGCGCCATGAATCTAACAACCTGAGTTTTATTGCCGACCGTGGCCAACATCACCGGTGAGCGATAAGTGGACACGACATCAAAGACAAAGATCCCCCGTATAGCCTTAACAGACTGTAGGGACAAGTGCTGTTAGCGAGCACCTATGAAGGCCAGAACGGTACACGAGGGGTGGGTGGCCAGCACCACGCCCGGCCGCCTTTGTCTCCCCAGTGGCGATGATTACACAAGTACTAATTTCAGGCTGAGTCGACCTAGGGGAGGCCCAGGACCGGTTCAGATGATCGTCACTGGTGGTGTTGGCCGTGAGCGGGAATCGAACCCGGGTCGCCGGGTTCATAGCTGAGCGCGCTAACCGCTAGACCACCGCTCCCCACCCACACACACCCCGCACTCCCCTCCACCAACCCGGCACTGACCAGCGTGGTGAAGTATGCTCAAACAACGCCCAACACCGATACGGTGTGGGGCAGAGCCTTCAAGGCAGTGGACTGACAATTATATTATTTGAGTCATCCATTTTGCACGGCGCAATCTGTCACGCCGAAAAAAGACGTCGTACGTTCCAAACTTTACCCAGGAAACCTCAATGAATCACGAGCACTCGTGTCCAGGAAGGCCTGGCCTTCGCGTTGTTGAGCCAATTCCCTTTTTTTGAGTAACCGCTTGCGTGCCAGGGGGGGGGGCGGGTGAAGTAGCCGGGCACTGACGCGCGTTCTCGCTGCGTTGCTGCAGAGGCTCGCGATTCGAACTCCGGCGGCCGCCCTGGTTAGTACTACGTTGGGGTGAAAAAAAACAGAATAACCAAAGAATTCCACGCCGTCCGTTTCACGGCGGACGTTCAAGGGAACCCCCCGACGTCATTTTTAAGAGTAGGCTATTATTACGTTGTCTGCGCCAGGGTCAAAATTATTTTTTAAATTCCAAAATTCCCTGTAAATGACTCAAATTGGATTATTCATAGCAACCAGCGCCCTCCCCCCCTCCTTTCTGGTAGACTAATGACCGTTTGCAGGCCAGGTGCCGAGTCATCTTGCATCTATGACGGGGTGACAGCTGCCACTGGGGGTTGCCTCTTCGAGTGTTTGAGATGAGACGACAAAGAGATAATTCTCCTTATCAGGGAGAAAGCCATCGTGGCCACAAAAAGGTCACACGCACACACAACAATACCCGCCGCTCGCCACTAAGTGACGTTCTCACGGCGCCTGTGCCAGGCCAGGTGCACTTTGAGGCTGCCACATCAAGTGTCAAAGACTCGCTGACGGGAGATCACGGGACAGACCCAGGTGCCATGGGTTGACCGACGGAGATGACTGGCACATGCACCAGCTGTACCCCCTACTGTGCCAACTTGCTGCGTTTTTGCCGCCCGGCACTCCGCTCGTTGCTGCGAGTGTCACTCCTCCGCCCTCCGTTGCTGTTGGAGGGCGACTGCCTCCAACTGCCCATAAGAGGCCGATCTTGACACCGCTGGTACCAGTCTTCGACAAGTGCACTCAGCTCCCCATTTTCCCGTACCGCACAACAACAGTCACGCACACATTCCACTTCACCGAGCTCTACATCACACAGACAGATGTTGCTGCACATTACACATGATCCTCAACTGCAGACATAGGCTGTGGCCTAGTAGCGTCGTTGGCACGTGCCCTTGTGCAATGAATAATAAAACGGAGGCCCACACTTTGTTCCATTCCCCCCCCGCCACCTCACTCCTTAGCCCGGCGCCTGGGCCACTCCAACCTCGGTGCAGTTTCACCGCCTGCACACCCGGCAGCTACGCCACTCCCCTCGGGCATCTGTGCGCGTATTTGCGCGAGCATCTGTTTGTGGGGGGTGGTGGGGTGGGAAACCGGCTTTATTTACTATTTTCGTTAATTCTAGATTTGAAGCTTTCGTAACTGCAAGAATTAATATTCTTAGGTTTTTTCGGTAAAGTCACGTAGGTAAAAAATTTAAAATGAATAAAAGTAAAATAAAAATAAAATAAAAATCACGACGTTTCGGAGGCAACACAAGCTTCCGTCTTCAGGTGGAACCGTCACAGCACGACTGCTGCATCAAGTCAGAGAAATTCCAAGGAAACAGTCCTTGTATATATACAAGGACTGTTTTCTTGGAATTTTTTTACCTACGTGACTTTACCGAAAAAACCTAAGAATATTTTCGTTAATTACAACAGCAGCAGAGTTAGTTTTCAGTGAAGCGCTCAAAGAAACATTAGTTTGAGGGTCATCGCCGGGTATCGCGCAGTTCACCGTGGGATGAAGCCGGACAGTGCACGGTGCGAACTCCACCCAATGCCCTTGCTTGTGTACCCCCCCTTCGCCAGCCACAGGACGGCCAGGGCTTAGCCGCGGGTACATTACGTAAAGATGACACGGCACGGCACGCACCTGAGGGACGCGTTACACATCCAGCCAAATTAGAATACCATCTCATCACTTTGGCCTGGTGCGGGACACCTTGAACACCAATTCTAATGAAGGCAAAGGTAAACGCGCAGCCCTGCATTGCTTGCAGGGCTGCGTTTTTACCGTACAAGCTGCACATTTCTTGTGTCTTAATTACCACCATTTGAATTCACTGTCAAATTGAGCGAATTGTAGATTAAAGCAAACAAACGTATCGTGCCAGCTGCCTTAACGGTTTTGGATAGTAGACAAAAAACCCTGAACATTAGGGGGGTGGAGGGCGGTCAGGTCATCATCGTGGCGCTCGACAGCACCCACAAAATGGTGCCACACGGAATGACACGGCGGTGGTCACTTTGCATTGCGACGGAAATTAGCGAACGGGGACATTTCTGTAAAATGACACCGACGAAATAACTTCTTCTTCTTCTCCGTGTTGTTGTGTCACAGTCGCTGTGCATCACGTGGAGACGCGTAGCGGCAGAGCGGGCGGGCGACCGAGGTCACCGGCGATTTGATTTCATCGCCGTTTGTTTAGCACAGGGGACTCCAAAAGGCCCCCCCCCCCCCCACCTAAAAAGGCCGGAGAGTTTTTTTAACCGAGGGATGTTATGAGAACTTGGCGGGTGGGGGAAGAGTCGCAATGACATGGAAGGGAAATCTAAATTGCTGCAGCGAGACGGAAAAGTGTCTTGACCCTCGGTGGATTAGAACGAGGTGCGCACGAAACCAAAATCATCGTCTTGCAGACAACAACAACAACAATCACCACCACCACGTTGCTGAGAATTGAGCAACCGCAATCAACCAGTGCATATGTTTTCAATCGGTGGATATTACCAGCAATCATTCTAAAGCAAAGACAAACAAAAAACACGTGAAGCTGAAAGCACGTCGGAGAATTGGCGACACATGTAACCGAACACCAATATCGAGAACGAGAACACCAATCCCCACTTCCACTAAAGATGCTCCTCGGGCATTAAATCTATTCCCCAAAAGCGACGGTGCACGTCAAATCGCGTGCGGGTGTCTCACGGCAGATCCGCCCACTACCTTCCCGAGTGAATTCAACGAAAACCCCCCACACCACCCGAGCCCCCCCCCCGCCCCCCCAAGTCGCAGAGCCACCGACCACACCACGGGACCACACAGCTCGGTGAAGCGCCGTGAACTCCCTAAATTCAACGGAGGCACCGAAGCGGAACCACCGCACATCATCAACCCAAGCCGTTTCCTGGATAACCAATCTCGCCAAGGAATTATAGTTTGCCATTCACGCTGTCGTATAGAAAGGGAAAGTGAAAGGGAGGGGGGTGGGGGGAGACAATATGCAATATGGATCTAAAATCCTAGCAAGTGAGACGACGGGAGGGAGTTCCAGAGTCGGACCGTACAAGAAAGGCAACGAGGAACGGAAACTTCCTGAACGCCACGTGGCCGACCGGTCCCTCTGACAGGTACCTACGCGGGCGATGGACCGATCGATGGACCGATCGATCGAGTGAAACACGCGGCAACATTGTTGGGCTCCCAGCACGCAGAGCGAAAC